GTTTTTGTGTGAATGATAAAGACAGCTTCTGGTTGCTATTCCTAGGAAAGTAGTAGGAGAATTAGGAGGCCTTGAGCTCTTGTTGAGATGTGATTTTGACATAAGCTCCCAATAAGACTCTCCGCTTTTCATCAACAAGTTCTGTTACTGTATATCGGAAATGATTATATAACCATGACTTCAGCCCTGATAATTCTGTTATTTGGAACAACAGATATATCCTCCATATAAAAGAGCATATTTTATGACTCCTGGTTAAATAAAGGGGTATGGTCAGTTGTGCATCTTTTAGAAGCGAATGGAGAAGTTTATGAATATTGTGATTTTGTTGAAAAAATATGACATTGAATGCAACCCAAAGCAATTTAAAGAAATTATAGATGCAATTCAACCTGCTCTTGGCTTTGGTAAAAAAATCCTCAATCCATACTAATATAATAATTAATAAAATAGTATATATATAATTCATATATATAATATAATATAATTCCCGTACTACCTGAGATCAAAATTGGTACCTATAATTTTTTCGAAAAACGTGCAATAATAGATACATCCGAACAATTATGGCCTACAGATACTTCCCAGCCGTCAAGGAGAAAGTACTTTTAAATGATTTAGATGAGGACTCTCTCATCTCTGAACTGAACTAAATACATTACTCTCCCCACGCCACCATTCATTTTAAAGTACTGAATAACATACTGTATATTCCTCTAAAGATTTTTTGAGAAAAGGATTCAACTTTGACTGTAACACCTGTACCTTTTGTGAATCAGATATTGAAACAACTGAACACATCTTTTCTCACGTCATTATTCGACAGCTTTCTGGCACTCTGTGTTCTTGGCTAAATTCGTGTACATCTCACGTTTAAGGGTGACATTCTTGGTGTTCTGAATCTAAACAAAGAAGTCTGTGTCATGGTAAATGTCATTCTCCTGTAGGCAAAATTTTACATACATACATGTAGAGTAAAAAAAACTCCTGTGTGCTTTAAATAATTTTCTAACTCATTTAAGCTCAGCTCAAATTCACTAAAATATATAAAATATTTTAAAATAAGCTTGGTGAGTTGGTCTACAAAAATCTTTTAGCATTTACATTTATTTAATGTGACTCCTAACAGCACATAACGTCTGTACTGTCGACAGTGTTTTTTCTGTTTCATTCACTTGATGTTACCTTAGATCTGTCATGTGACATTTGAGTCACTGAGGTAGTGCGCTCTGCTGTGTGATTGGCTGAGTCACTGAGGTAGTGCGCTCTGCTGTGTGATTGGCTGAGTCACTGAGGTAGTGCGCTCTGCTGTGTGATTGGCTGTAGAGTCACTGAGGTAGTGCGCTCTGCTGTGTGATTGGCTGTAGAGTCACTGAGG